CTGCCATTTAAAAGAAACCTCCAAGGACACAGCAGCCCTGCCTCGAAACAGGCTGCAGAGCACCTCCATGCAAGAATGGGGTCAGGATGCTGGCCTTGACTCAAGAACATGGAAATGTTAGCTAACGGGAAAACTACAGAGGAGAATGAATCTCCTCTGGAAAGGGTGCCAGCGCTCTTGGAGTAAGCAGCAGTCACATTTGGGGATCAAGTCGGTAAAATTCCACTGATTCACCATAGAACCAGTTATTTTTATCATTCTGCTTACCCGTAAATAGAAGGGTATCTTGTATGTAGGCCAGCAGAACTCTGCTCTAAGCACCTACCCAAATTTTAAAGCAGGTGAGACAGAACAGGGAAAGAAGGGGCAAAGGAGACAAAAACCCCTGAAGAGTTCTTATAAGCTCGTGTCAGTCCAATCTTTCAACAGTAAAAACAAACCCAGTAAGCAGAGCCAACAAGTCACCCAAGGCACACTTCTACAACATACACAGGCCCAAAAGCAAGTCATGGATTGTGGTTTCTTCTACAGTTCCCTCTCCTGCCCCCAAAATCACTCCATCCAGCCCCACCTAGTGGAAAGAGCCTCAAAAGAAGGGTGCGCAGCCTTGGAGGAAGGCTGCAATGCTCTGGTGAAGGGGAGCTGGTGCTAAGACTCAGTGGAGACATGCTTCCTTTTAGCAGGGGTCTAAAGGAACACTGCTCCCTCCTGCCTATTGTGTATGACTTCCTCCCCTTTCAAAAAGCCAGCAATACAGAAAGGATTTTCCACACCACCTGCCTTTCCTAACGAGTAGACAAAGGCATCAAGGTGAGCATTTGAAGGCACAGAGTGGAGAAAGTCAAGAGACATGAAAGAGACCAAAGCAAATCCAAAGCTGGGAATGGGTCCCAGGACTTCTAAGGTCTCCAGCTCCAAGTTGTACTCCTACAGTTTCAAGACACTGCCCGGTGACAACAGGTAGTGAGTGAGGCCAGAAGTCTCAACTCGAAAGTTGGTCCAGGAGTTTCCAAGTCCTCAGCTACAGCAGAGGCACCTGGTCAACTCTGCTCTGTTCCTAAGTTAGCATCACTGGTAGACAACTGACTTAGCATATGATTGCCCTTGGGAACACAGAAAATAGTATAAATAAAAGTTACATGTGTCTGAGATATTTTCCCCATCCCTGAAAAGGGTGGCCAAACCCAAGCCCCACTCTGCTGCCAGGTGGAACATAGAACAGCAATTCAAAAAATAAGCTTAAAATGGTCCTCAGCAACAGGTTCTGCCTGGAAGTGAGGGGGATGGCGGGGAGAGAGAGGGGGTGGGGAGCAGAGGGAGAAATGGCCCAAACAATGTATGTACATATGAATAAATGAATAAAAATAAAATGGTCCTCAGCAGTACATAAATGGCTAACCCAATTCTACTAACCCTTAGCGGTTATAAATAAAGTAAATTTCTATGGACCAGTCTGGGAACTTAACATCAAGTTGTTCTAATGAGAAAACAAGTTCCTACTTATAAACACAGTCAAATTTCTGGAATAGAACCTGTTTCTAAAGAGGGGACTGACCAAATTAATATTTAGTCATTTTTATTTTTGGTGTAAACTGGTAATAGATTTGATGTAATAATAAATATTAGGTAACTATTTGCAAAGTGTACCCTCCTCCTCTGGGAAGACTTCCCAGTTAACCCTAAATATGTAGGACCTCACCTCTTAAGCACTTTTTTACCTACTCTTTTCTTTCAGCCTACTTGGCCTGTGTGCAACGGGCGCCAGATCTGGGAGAGAAGGTGGGATGTCAGAATGACAGCAACCCTGGTTGTCAGTCCTGCAACTGGCACAGCTTCTGTACAGGTCATCTACACTCCACACCCTCTGCACTATGCATCAAGTCCTTCATTAGGCTGAGACCTCCTTAATGCCAAGACCCACAACAATCACAAGAATCATCCTGAGACCTGTGGATACCACTAGGACATAACATACCTCCTGGTATATGGAATATGGATTCTCAGAGGGCATCTAGCCAGCTGAAACACACATTGGCTCTTGCACGCCAACATCAAGACTCAAATCAGTATGTGACTGGCCGCAATTACAGGTACATGTTATAGCTCCAGGGCTGTGAGAATGAGCCAAACTATGAATGCTAAATGCCTAAGTGACAAGTTCACTGTTTCTTCCTAACCATTTTTAAAAAGCACATTTTTACAGCATCTAGCTCAGTGTGACATAGAATCCACTTAATACCTTTTTGGTCATGTGCAATGCAAGTGAAGAATTTGCCAAATGAAGAAAATGCTAGTACAAAGGGTCTGGCATTTGTGATTATGGAGGGTTTGGCTGAAGCCAAGAGAATACCTGACTAACCTGCAGCTATCTGGACACATCAGTCAAATGTTTATCCAGGTAAGCCTCCAAACTAGTCTTCTTGCACTCATTTACTGAAACCACTGTGGAGAATATTCATGGGTGTTACAAAAATAAAAAGTAACATGATCAAATAAAACTAATAAATGAAGGGTCTTACTGAAGTGCTCCTCACCATTTATATGCCAGAGTGAGTCCCTAGAAGGGATTAGATCATGCAAAGTTTCCACATCTAACTGATACTGTGCACCCCACTTTTTGGTTTTGTTGGAGCACCTGTGTAAACTAATACTTTAGAGGTAACTTTTTTTTCAAATTTTATCTTCAACAAATAAACACCAGACAATGACATGTTTCAGAAAAAAAGCATAAAACCTGAATCTCCCCCACTCTACTGTACACCTCCTCCCTTCAGTACATGATACAAACGGGTAAACTGCAAGAGTATTGCCCCTCCTTTGCTGAGGAGTCTGAAAAAAAGTCTTTAAATACCAATGAACTAAGTGATCACCCCAGTCCTCAGTAAAATACAGCACCCAGCAAGTAGAGCTCATGCTGCACACACTTCCAAAGGTCTCTTCCACAACCCCAACTTATTCCATCCATAAAGAGAAGTAGCACCCCAGCCATGTACACCAAGGCCTGAGACAAAGAGGATTCACACAGCAGTTCTCAAAATGCTGTCCTTAGACAAGAAACAGAAGCAAGGCCCAGGCACAGGCAGAAGTGCCCACCTCAGAATGCTAGTCACAGAAAAGGGCGGAGGAGAACTGGACAGCCCTACAAGCACCGCATGGATGAGGAAATGGACTTGTCTCCCAGTTTGATGCATTCTACCTGACAATAGCTAATTATCCCTGGCCAGATTATATAAGTCCTCCCACCCCCTTGCTCTTTTTTTTTGTGGTACTGGGGTTTGAATTCAGGGTCTTATGCTTGCTAGGCAGGCACTCTTCCACTTGAAAAATGTTTTCATTTTGGCTTTTTTCCGAGATAGGGTCTCGCACATTATTTGCCTGTACCATGACCTTCCTGAATAGCTAGGATTACAAGCATGTGCCATCAACACCCAGCCTATGTATGCTCTTTTTAAACAAAAAGGCAAAAGGATCCATAGCTTGGCTGTTATAGCCACACCTATTTGTGGTTTAAGTTTAAAAAGGGGGTGGGGGAAGAAGCACAGCTTCCCTCCCCAGTCTCCATTCTTCATTGTCATTATGATTGTGGAAGAAGCCCAGTCGCTGTGATTTCCTGTTGCCTAGCAACACTCAGGCACTCTCTTAAGAGGTGCTCTCAAGAAGCTGAGCATTAGCACAAAACAAGGTGAGGCAATCAGAATGTGCCACATCCCGGCAGCAGGTTCAAACGCAGTCCACCTGCACGACACTAAGATCCACAGGACTAAAGCAGCACTCTGTCCCAGGGCACATCTGCAGAGATTCCCCATGACAATGTCCAGTGCCTGAGGAAGCTGGCCTCAGAGAAGTGGAAGTTATTTCTAAGGTAGAAAGGAGAAAAAAAAGGAGGGGGGATGGAAGAGGAGGATGAGTCAATTTGAGCTTTAACACACACACACACACACACACACACACACACACACGTATGTATATCATGAAAATGTCACAATGAAACATCCTAGACAGCTATCTTAAACAAACAAAAACGTCTTATTTTCAAAAACAAAGAACAGGAAGGTAAAACAGGTCCTATCGAGGCTTCAATGGGAGGGGGGAGGTTACAAGGAAAGGGTGTAGGAGGGTGAATGTGGTAGAAATATTATGTACTAGTATCTGAAAATGGAAAAAATAAGACCTGTTGAAACTATTCCAGGAATAGGGGGAAGGAAAAAGGAGAATGATAGAGGGGGTGAATTCAACAATGATATATTGTAAGAACTTTTATAGATGTCACAATGTATCCCAAATACAACAATATGATAATAAAAATAAAACAAAATAACCCAGGGGAAAAAAAGAAAACAAACACAAAACAAAAATGACTTGCCCAAGGTCATACAGAGCCACTGAGCACCAGAGAAAGAATGGAATTTTCTACCCCTGTAGGAAAAAATGCCAGTATAGGAAACTGAGATCACTAGTTACAGTAGGTAAAACCACTTTTCTCTCATGGATTAGGCACTGGGTATGTACATTAGTCACAGAAAGCATATTTTGCTTATCTGCAACTGCATATTTACAAAGGATGTGCTGCTTATGTGGACAATTCACAGTTCCCTGAGGTGTTTTAAAGGCAAAGTTAAAGGAAAAGGAGGAGAATGCTCAGGTTGACAGGAAAAGCCTCCTTCCCTCCATCAATTGCTTAAATGCTTGCAGCTACGGGCGACGTCTGGTTTTGTTCTGACTACAGTCTAGGGACCAGCGTAACTGCATCTCATTTGCACCACAGCACAAGTATGTACCTGTACAACACCAGCACAACAGGGATCTGACCATGAAATTATGACAAGTTCTAACATTAATAATTATTCTCTTGGTTTTTTTTGGTGGGATTGGGGTTTGAACTCATGACTTCATGCTTGCAAAGAAGGAGCTCTACCATTTGAACCACAGCTCCAGTCCTAATCATTACTGTTTACTGAGCCCAACGACATTTTCCACCCAGCACTCATGAAGATACTCACCCGCCTCTCCAGTGCTGCTCGCTGTGGGCCGAGATCTTATAAGGAAGTGCACGTTCACCCAGGTTTTCCAAGTTCCTCACTATGGCTCCTCGGTCCATCAGAGCTTCTATTGTACGTTTCAGAGCAGCAGCAGTGGCTGGCTGTTTTTTGTTGTCATTTTTAAAGAGAAGAAAAAGCTCATCAAAATCAATGTGAGAACTAGAGTTATTAAGTGCAATTAGTTCCAATCGTAATAGCTCTACTGCTAGGGATCTCTGGATAAAAGCAATAGAAACTGGTTTGGGCTAAATAAAATGAAATAAAATAAAGTCAGACATTTATTATAAGGCTATGAGAGAGCTCAAGATACAAAGAAAAAGCTGGAGAACCAGCTCTGGAGAGTTCAGGCGTCACAGCAGCTGTACACTTCCTGGGAGGCAGGAACTAACTAGTGAATGGCTTCTCCAGAGAACTTCAGCCAGGCTCAATCAGTGCCAATCACTGCCAGCCCTTGTATCTCATGACTCAAAATTTAAATTCCAGGAGACCATCCTGTTGGCAGAACATCTTAGTTGACCATTCCACCAAAACCATAGCCAGCAGGGAAAAAGAAGTTTGGAGGTTTTAACCAAAAGGGGCAAGAATGAATAAGACCCAATTTCCAAACTCACAGAGCTTACCATTAACATAAACACATAAAAGGAGTAGAGGGAAGAACAGGAGAATGGCCTGGGACCATGTGCATGGAAGAAGCAGCACATCCAGCTGGGAGAAGGGTTTTGTTCAGAAGAGCTTGCTACAAAGGAGCCCTAAAAATAATGACTGGGAATATGATGAGCCCACAAATGAGCCAAGTAAAGGGAGCAAGTGCAGGAAAAGTGTGAGACAGGAAGAGAGAGCGCTAGGAGTCCCAGAGGGTGGGGTCAAAGATGAGAAGAGATGGGAGTTGGAGACAAGTAACAGAGGTCTATTATAAAAACCAAAATTCAAATATAAACCCCCACCATCCAGAGATACAAACTCTAAGCCTTTTGGTATTTCTTCTAGGGTATTTCTCTTTGCTTATGTATACACAAAAATAATTGGAAGTACTTTACAAAGGTAAACCTGAAAAATGCAGCTAGTGAAAGGTGAGAATGAGGGCAAGATGTGGGAAAGAGGACACCAAAATCTGGTGGCTAGAGAATGGCACTGTCATTAACAGCTACAGGAAATATGGACAAGTTGGCTAGAAGCAGTAAAAGATGAACTGGTTTTAGGACAAGCCCATGGCTCCCTAGGTTGACCTCTCAGGATGAAAACGTTAAGCTCAAAACACATGTGGGTTAGAAATGCATGTGCTACAGTCATCCGCACAGAAGGCTACAGGAAGCAAGGAGAAGGACTCACTGGGGTTGGATCCACAAGAGAACCCTGGACAGCACAAACATCTGGGGGCTGACAAGAGGACCAGCAGTCAACAGAGTCAAATTTAAAACCTGTAGTCAAACAGGACAAGAAAAATTGGGAGCCTGCCTCATCTTAGAAACCCAAGAGGCAGTCTCCTGAATGCGGCGCTGAGGATAGAGAGCAAGAAATAGCCACAGTGTGGTGGGTGCATGGGCACTTGGCAAGATGGGTCTGAGCCAGATGGCAAAGGTTTCCAAGGTGGAGAAAGAACCAGACCTTGAGGGGCAAGCAAGTCTGAAAGTGTTGCTGGAAACAAAACATGTAAGTCAGGAGTTAAAGGGAAATGAACCAGTCAAAAAGTTAAAATGTAGGATTTGAAATATAAACAATGAAGACAACTGTGATTTACTGCCTGACTGCTATGAGCTTGGCACTAATCTAGCGCTTTATTGTTACATATTTCATTTTCATCCTCCCCAAAGCAGAGCAAGGTTTACAGATATGGAATTGGGAGATGACACAACAAGGCAGCTGGTGAGTGGAAGAGCAGAGACAAGGAAGCCTGTAAAGCACAGCCAGGGAGGAGGCTGCAGGGGCACAGACAGGGGCACTTCTTGAAGGGACACAAGCAAGGAGGTTTTGAAGTGCAGGAGGAAACTTAATGCTATGTCTTGTGGCTCACTTGATGTCAAATGAGAAGAAAACTGCAGAACAAGTTTAAATGTGCATTCTGAAAACCAAAGAAAATTGACGATTTTATTAATTTTCTGACAAATAATGCTGAAACATTATAAATATATTTGCTTAAAGCTTAGAAAATCTTTGCTTTCATTTCATACTGTAGCCCACTAGTGATTTAAAAAGTCTCCACTGAAATTTTAATGCTTACTTACCTATTCAACCAATCTTATGATAAGACAGAATTTTCTTGAAAACAATAAAATCAGGGTCAAATTTCTTTCCATCAACTAGGTAAAAAGTTTATGGTAATTTCTCCTACGACAGTATCAAACATACACAGTTCTAATCACATGAATATTAAATTCTTCTTACATTTGTTCCGTTAGTTCACAAAGACATTTCCGTATTTCTGCAGAAGCCTCCTTATTAACAGGATAGTATTTCATTTCATTAAAGATGCTGTTTCTTGGCCTGGCACTGAATTAACTTATAATATGGTGCACAAACAGTCTACCCAAATAAAGAATTGATTTTTTTTTTAAAAAAAACTTAGATTAAGGTCTTCTGATTAGTTACCTAAATAATAAATTTTAATAACAGTTTTACTTGATTAAAAAGAAACACATTTCAATATCTCCTCTTGTTTAAATTCCAACTGAAGTATTTACAATATGAAATAGGGCTCACCCTCTTCTGAAGTAAAAGCTTGAGAAATAAAAGATTTTCTTCTTACATCTATGCAGAAAAGAGGAAAGGCTACCTAACAAGAATGTAACTTAGGAAAATATCCAAGCACACTTTGACTTTGGTATGTCAAGGTTAAGTTGTAGACTGCTTGAATGGCCACATTCATTTCAAATTACCCAAAAGTTTAAAAAGAAAGATTGAAGGAGGAGCAAAAACATCTCTGGTATATCACAGGTTGCCCAGTGTGTCTCATATCCTGCTTTATCATAATAAAGCAGGGCCAGAAAACCAGGGTCCAAGAACCAAGTGGGGCTAGGCTATTTTTACAAGTAAAATTTTATTGGCACACAGCCAATTCATGTGCTTGCACAGAGTCTAATACTACTTCTATGCATAAGGGAGTCTGTAATTACAAAAGAGACCATGTGGCCCCAAAGCCTATACCACACCCCCTGCTCTACAATTGAAGCTTCAAGGAAGCTGGCAGGGCCTCAACCCACTCACCCCAAAATGCACAAATAAAACTGTAAGTCTGGCCAATGGGTTACAAAAAGTGAATTTCCCCCATAGGATGAGTCATCAGGGAGACCAACTTACCACAGGGCTTAGAACTAATTCTAAAAACTCACCACTCCATCCACAAGTTCCTAATTTTATTAACCCAGGCTGCCAACTTCAATTTTACTTATTTGGTAAAATCTACAGATCATGACCTGGGGTGGGGGTGGGGGGTGATTCTGCTTAATCAGCATAATGTTCAATTTGTAAAAGCATATAGTTTACAGAAATCAAATGATCTTCCTACCATAATTCTCATTTACAGGGTCTCTGAGCCATTTAATTCCATCTATTCTAAGAGAAATTATATAGGCTTCTTATGAGCTGCCACACCCATCTGAAAGCAGTTCCCAAGACTAATCTGACACAATGATTATGACACAATGTCAATGGAACAATCTTGGCAAGACATATGGTAGGGGAAATCAAAGAGATAATGAATAAATGTGAACAAGAAGTAGGAAAATATGCCTAGAATGCTCATTCACTAATGAGTTATACAGCCCTGGATCAACTGCTGAAATTTGTTGATTTTTTAAACTCGTGCTTCAGGTTCCTCTTCTGCTAAATTAGTGGTTCTCCATAATTCTGTTTTTCTACAGGCTTCACATAAACAACCTTCACGTTGCAACTCTCAATTATCTCCTGGGGGCATATAACGTGTGAGAAAAATCTACTTGTTACCCCCTCCCCCATTCTGAATTTCCATCACCCAAAGTGCCCCTTCCATTCCAGGTACTCCTGGAATTTATTCATTTATTTATAGCACCTGTGGCAAGCTATAAATAGTCTTTCACTAACTTGAATGTAAGCTTTAGGAGAGCCAAGGACCTTTGTTCATTTTGCACACAACTGTATTCCCAAAGTCTAACAAAGTCCATATCATGCAACAGGTGCTGGAAGCAGTGGTTAAGTGAATTAATGCATCAATTGTACCTTCCCAAGGATCTCTTGCTTCCTGACCCCTATCTTTTCTCAAGGAGTACTGAGTTTCCCCATCTCTAATACGATGGGAAGCTACTTTTTCATACAGAACAATGCTCAATGCAAAAGTAGTGACTGTAATACTGAAGCAAAATTACAGTACTAGTGTTTTCAGTTTGTTTCAGACAGTACCAAAGCGTTGTTACTATCAATACTGCAAAAGACCCAGAACTCATCTAGTTGACGAGAAACTAAATGCAGTCATACATCACTTAGCAATGCATGGGGGATAAATTCTAAGAAACACATTGTGATGCAACTGTTGTGCAAACATCAGAGTACGTTTACACAAACTAAGACAACTGTGATGTCACCAGGCCATATAATCTTATGAGATCAGGATCTTATATGCAATCTGTTGCTGAAGGAAACACTGTTATGCAGTACATGACCATACTAAGTATTTTATACATTTCAAAAATATCAAGTTCAAACACACATATGAATATAAGTGTTAATATAACATTATTCTATTTGCAGGTAAGGTAAGATAAAGTACAACCCCCAAAATTTTCCCCCCCTGTGGTAAAATTGTTGCCAGCTTTTGTTTTTTTAGAAAAAAGTAAACTTATATTTTGCCTTCCCTAATGTAGTTCTTATAAATTGTTTTTTTTTTTTATTATTCATATGTGCATACAATGCTTGGGTCATTTCTCCCCCTAGCCCCCACCCCCTCCCTTACCACCCACCCTGCCCCCTCCCTCTCCCCCCACCCCCTCAATACCCAGAAGAAACTATTTTGCCCTTATCTCTAATTTTGTTGAAGAGAGAGTATAAGCAATAATAGGAAGGAACAAGGGTTTTTGCTGGTTGAGATAAGGATAGCTATACAGGGCATTGACTCACATTGATTTCCTGTGCG